AGTGGCCACACTCAATATCAGATGCTGTACATATACCCCTTCCAAAGAATCACAATCAACAAATGTGGGCCACTGATTAATGCACTTATCTAATATCCATACATCATTCAAAACATTAATTTCATCACCAATACCTACTTTCCATCCGGTAATACTTTTCAGGTGCCTTCCACCATCTAGCAGGATTTGCCAAGCCTTAGAAGTAACTTTCTTATTTGTACCATTCATAACATCATTCCCATACTTAGCTTTGATTGTTTTATGGAACAAGGTCTCCGGCTTCTGTATAAAGTTCCCTACCAATTTAGATCTCAACGAGCCAACCTTCATTACAGGAGATTGCAAACCTAGCCCTCCTATACTTCTCGGTTTACACATATCTCCCCAAGAAACATAATGTATACTATGGCTACCATCAGGTTTATGCCAAATGAAACTTCTACAAAGTTTTTCCAATGCATACAACACTCTTTTTGGAATCAAAGAATGTGTAATTAAAAAATTTGGCAAAGATAGCAAAGAGCTTGTAATGAGAGTAATCTTACCACCCATTGATAATGACTTCTTATCCCAAGCATTGAGTCTATCCATGACATTGAAATTCTTGAAAATCAGCCATCTTCAACCTGTCAAGAGAAATCTTTATCCCAAGATAATTCATCTCCTTAACCACTTTGAAGCCAAAAACTTTAACAATCTTCCTCTTCATAGGGTATCTGACAACCTGGCCGAAAATAATTTGGGACTTATTGACATTAATCCTTTGCCCCGTCCACTTGCAAAAGTCTTCAACAATAACCTTCAAAGTTTTAGCTAATGCCATGGAGACATGTGAGAAAACTAGTACATCATCTGCATAAAGAAGATGTGTGATCTTTGGACCTCTAGGAGAGAGTTGAATGCCAAGACTTTGTCCCCTCTTCTCTAAAGAGTTAGACATCAGTTGAGAGCACATGATGTAAAGGTAAGGGGAGAGTGGACACCCTTGACGAAATCCACTATGCTCATTGATCCACTTGGAATTCATTCCATTAATAATAATAGAAAATCTCACATCTACAACACACTCCATAAGAAGGTTAGAAAACATAGAAGGAAAGCCACACCACTTAATTATTTGACCAAGAGTTGGCCATCCCATGCTGTCATATGCTTGCTCCATGTCCAGCTTCAAATCCATAAACCCATTTTTGTTTTTGGAAATTTTGAACTTATGGAAGATCTCCTGAGCCAGAAGACAATGTTCTGAAATTCATCTCCCCGGAATGAAGGCCATTTGCTCTTCAGTAATCTTTTTGGGAATATACTTCTTCAATCTGTTAACTAACATTTTAGCCGCAATATTGTAATTAGACTGTCATAGGCTAATAGGCCTATAATTAGATGGAATCAAAGGGTTTTTCACCTTAGCAATCAAAACTATAAGAGTATCTTTCCAATCCATTCTCATACGGCCAGAAATTATAGAAAGCACTTAATAGCATTCCATAAAGCTTCCCAAACAATATTCCAATAGCATTTGTAAAAAGATGAAGTGATTCCATCCAAACCTAGTGATCTATTACTCCCCTGTTGAAAAACCGACTACTGCAGTTCAGCCACCGAGAACTCGGTATTCAGAGCTGCAACCTCTTATGAATTCAGTTTATGATGCTCATATAACAATGGCCAGCCCGATAGTTCACAATCTCTAGACTTCTATTTTGCTTCAAAGTACCGAATGAAAACCTTCTCAATTTGATCATCTTCTACTTGCACCTTATTATGCATATCTTTAATTTGATTCACTCTATTGCCATTCCTTCTTGTCGTAGCAAAACAATGAAACAATTTTGAGTTTGTGTCTCCTTCCTCATGCCATCATACTTTTTCCCTTTGATTCCACCAAGTGGATAATCTTCTCAAGGTCACATTAAGATCATGAATTTTGCTCCTGTGTAAAAAAAGATCATCGGCTGACCAATCTACTCCCACAGCTTCCTTGTTTTAAAGATTCAAAATTTCCCTTTTCAATTTTTCCTTCAACATATTCAAGTCTTTGCACTTATTTTTACTCCAAAAAAGTAGTGCTTTTAAAGTTCTACTAATCTTCCTTTGTAGAATCATACCTTTATCTCCAAAGTCATTTTTCTTCCAAGAATGGTACATAATACTCTTAGCTGCTGGATAAGATCTCCACTTTCTGCTCAATCACTTGCTTACGATATGGTGCAAAGTTTCTTTTCTTCTGGATGATCAGTTTTTTCGTTATATTCACTTTGAGGGAGTGTACGATTACTTCTGGGTCAATTCTAGGTATATCTGCTGAACTATGGGCAAAAATATCATGATTTTCATATAGAGAATCTATGAATTTCTTCTTATCATCGACTGAGAGAAGTGACCTAATCCACACAGTCTTTGAAGGATATTCTTCAGATATAGATACAGTAGTGAGGTCTTCTACAGGAGAAGCTCTTTGAGGGATATCTTCACTCCGGAGAACAAAATCCTCGATGCTCAGGGTAACCATTGGATGTGGCTTAACCTGCCTAAGATAACAGGTTTGTGCTATTTGTTGATCTCCGCATACTACACTGAATCTTTCCGGGGTAAGGAACTTCAACTTGAGGTGAGGGATAGAGGTGACAATCCCAAAAATTGACTGGAGTAGCCTCCCAAAGATAGCGTTGTAAGCCAATTCTGGCTGTACAACAATGAACTGGATTTAGTGTGTAGTCTGACGAGGAAATTCTCCCAGTACAAATGGGAGACTAATTATTCCCTCTACTCATACAGGTTAGTTGTCAAATGCGTACAGTGGGCCTAAAGCAGGTTGAAGCTTTTCTCTGGTGAGACCCATATTGAGAAAAGTTGAGTAAAATAGAATATCAACAGAACTTCCATTATCCATAAGAAATCTTTTGACATTATAACACAAATCGCCTATCCCCATATTAATCACAAGCGGGTCTTGTTGAGGGATTTTTACTCCCTCCAAATTTGAATCATCAAAGGTGATAAAGTGATTTATACGAGCCTTCTTTAGCGTCGTATTTTAATCTACAACAAAAAAGATCTGATCAGATAGTAAGGGGCCTCCTGCGATTGTCTCAATTTCACCAACCACTATTTGATTATTCACCAGTGCTCTCTGCTATTAATTTTTCCCCCAGTGGGACGAGCTTCTTCTCTGGTCTTTGAATCCCAAATAAAATGTCGAAGATAGCCTTAGCGGATAAGTTTTTCAATCTCCTCCTTGAGTTGCCTACATGTTTCGGTAGTGTGGCCACGACTACGATGAAAGTGACAGTACATATCTTGATTTGTTATGTTTGACTTCAAAGGATGCGACCTTTTCAATGTATCTTGATCTCGAATAGCCATTAATACATTTACTCGAGATGTATTGAGTAGAGTGTACTCCTTCTTCTGTCGAGGTTCTTGTCGTGTAAATAGAGGCCTATGAGGTAGATAATTCTTCCATTGCTTCTTCCAGTGTTATGATGAATTATCTATCAAAGATGCACCCTTGCGCTTCCCGTTGGCTGGCTCAAACTGCTTTCTATGAGCATTTATGGCCTCATCTGCAGAGATTTGCGCCTCCACACGATTGATCAGATCGACATATGAATGAACAATGTCGCGCATGAGTGTCAAATAGAAGGGGCCAGTATGAAGGCCTCCAAGAATGGCCCCTCTTAGTAATTTAGTGTCTACTCATGAAATCTATCGGGCCTCCATGGAAAAGTATTGAAAATACTCTTTCAACGATTCTCCGTCATTTTGACGGATCCCGAAGAGGTGGGAAGAATCCTTAGCAATTCTTCAATTGGCTAGAAATTGTTCGACAAACACTTTGGACAATTTGACAAATGAAAGGATTATTCTGGAAAGAAGCAAATAGAACCATGTTCGAGCCTGTCCTTTAAGGGTGGCAGGAAAAACCTGACATAGGAGTGCATCCGAGGCTTGCTAAATATGCATGATGGTTTTATAGTGGTCGACATGGTCGTTTGGGTCGGATGTCTCGTCGTTGGATTCGATGCTCGATAGTTTGAAGCCAAGAAGAATAGGGTGCTGAAGAATGGCTTCAGTTAAAGGTGATGACTCTGGGAAGTTCCAACGACGGACGATGGGTTAGAAATTTTCAACAAGCGCAAACTCAAAAGAAGCAGCTAGGGCTAGCACCTCCTCATCCGAAAAACAAAGTGAAGGAAGCCCTCTAAAAGACGAGATCTTAAGATCAGGAAAAGAAGAGATCGAAGCTTTAGAAGAACCCGCTAAAACCTCATGAAAGGAATGAGAAGAAGGTGAACTAGACAAAAAACTAGGATCAAATGCTTTTTGCCCTCCATTACAGAGAAAAAATGTAGAAAAACTAGTGAGAGAGGAGAGATATCTTCCCTGAGGAAGCAACAAAACCACGCAACGAAGGAGACAACGGAAAACTCCAAACCCTAACAGAGCGCATGGTGAGATGAAAATTTATAGGATCTAAAATCAGCCACCTTATGCAGAAGAAGATAAAGAAAAGAAGATATTAAATGCTCTCCTTAATGAGCCACCCAAATTAGCTAATAGAATAAACCCAAAATTTTACATTTAATAAGAAAGTAAAACATTTTATTCCATTTCTCATTCGATCGTGCATGATTCACCAAAATCACAATCTCCATTTGATTGCATGCATTTTATTTTAATCACAATATTTATTTGATCACATAGTTCTCGTGATCATGATCTCTACTTGATTCCATTTCTCATTGAAATCATGTTCTTTATTCAATCATGAGTATATATATATATATATATATATATATATAATGTCTTTTCTTCAAAAAGAATCAACTGTGATCTAACATTATTAATAAGTTTTCTTCTAAACAAATATAAAAGAGGTAAGTACATGTTTAAATAAAAAAAAAACTACTAAATATTATCTAAATAATTGTTGAAAAATCAACTTATAATTCAAAAATATTCATATTACTTGGGTAGCAAAGATTAAGATATTCAATTTATGAAAGTGATGGTGTAAACCAGATTGATGGGGGCCAATTAGTCCGTGAATATGGGGGAAGGATATACTGAATGCGATCATTGTAAAGATCAAAAAGTCCAATATCACAATCAACAAAACTTAGCAACATGTTGCTAGAATGATCAGCAAAATATATGCAGTTTGGTTTAATTCCGATAGCAACCTTGTGATGCAAAGAAAATGTTTGATTACAACCCACAAAAAAGGAGTATTCCCCCAGATCATTGACGGTGATCCATTGGGAGTAAGAAGAAGAAGAAGAAGAAGTAACAACATCTGGCACAAACTTGGAAACAAAGATAGTCATCGTTGTAGCATTAAAGGGATTATTAGGAGTAATATTAATCACCCTCTCTATTCTTAGAAGAGTTCCCGACAAAAAGGTAATATAGTACATATAATTGAAGTTTCTGGTGTGATAGAATGAATTGGGCATATTCGGGGAGATCAATTCAACATTTTGTCCATTGAGGTCAAAAGAAAGCACCATAGAAAAATTTGTGATTGCGTAAAATAATTGATTTTCTTCATGATAGCAAACATCCTCAAATTGCTCATCATCTACTGTGCTGTAAGGAGATAATTGTGGCCCAAGAACCCAAGTCAGAGCTTCTAACTTAGCCAAAGCAAGCTCTTTTTTAAAGCCATAGATAACAACAGCAGTTCCAAAAGAGTCGTTAGAGGATACAATGATCTTATGAAAATATATATCACGTAAGCTGTCATTCATCGAGCCATCAGGGGCATATTGTAGCTCAATCAAGGTGAAGAGTGATGGGAGCGATATTTCAGCCTTTGTGACAGGGTTGAAGAGGCGAGGCTGTAGATCAATTTTATCAAGGGTCACAAGCCATCCATTATTGGAGCCAAAACAGCGGCGGCCATAGATGTGGCTACCAATGGAGGAGAAGCGACGACGGAAGCTGACGGCAGCTTCTTCTTCTTCTATGGTAAGTTCGCGGAAGGTGAGTTCGTCGGAGGTCTCTCTGACATCATTGGAAAGGAGCAACCATGGGGAGGGACGACATTGAATTCCAATGAGTGCATAGTTAGGAAGAGTGAAATTCCATGAGGTGCAGACAACTGATAATCGAACTAAGTCTACAATGGACAAGTGCGATGAGATGCAACAAAGGAGATCTATGGTTAGATCACACCATGCCATAATATTAATGTTTTTGTGGTGGCCAATGGAGCAAAGGAGCTGCCCTACCATCCAACACTACCACGCTCAGAAAAAAATTTGTAAGAATTGGAATCCAATATGCAATCTTTGTTAGAGATATAAATATGTGGAATAGAATAAGTATTTGTGGCAAATATTAAAGTGCGTTAAATTTTTTTCTCATTTGTGGCTAATGAAATTGGCCAACTAGCATTATCCATAAATAGAATAGAGTGCAAAATTCAAGTCATAAAAATTAAATTGATTATTTAAAATTTATATTTATTTCTAAATTAAAATTTATCTTTTATTGGATGCGGTTTATTAAGAGATTGAATTTGTGTCAAAATTTTGCATTGTTTTAAGAGGTCTAGAAACACTTATTCTTAAATATATAAATGATTGGAAGACAAGAAAACATATATTGTATATGTATTATCGCATAAAAATGTATTAATTTACCAGAATTATATTATTTCGTTTTACAAAATGTTTTTGGTGTCTTAAAGGCTCTTTCATTAGGTTGGAAATAATTTATTTTTAATAAAATTATAAATTAATAAAATTTTTGATCATTTTTGTTCATATAACAAAAAATATTTATCATGTACATGAAATTTTCTTATTTTAGAAATATGAAAACCATTCATTGATTCTGATTAAAAAAAATCCCACTGCATATCTTGTTTCCTCTAAAGATGGAAGGAATAATGAACAAAGATTGGAAAAGAAATCACATTTGTCTTTTCCACCCTTCTTCTTCCTCCCTCCTAGCCATTAGAGACTAGACAAAGCTTCTTCTTTGTTAGGCTCTCTTTTAGTCTTAGAGATGAAGATGGAGGAGGCATTCCTAAGAGGGGAGCCTTTACCGTTGAAAAAATATATACAAAAAATAGTTATATTCGTTATTGTACTTCTAAATGTATTATTGTATAAAAACTAAATATCATTATGCTTATGGTTCCTTATGATTTCAAAATAAAAATATTTGGATCAAATTCAACTTCATCGATCAAATATTTAAAAATATGTGCAATTAAAATCATGACTTTGAGAACTTTTGAAATTATTTTGAATGCTTTTGGTTCACTAATTTGAAAAGTTTTCAACAATATGCGATCCATTTTTTATGTTTATATTATGCATTTATTTGAGGGTTTGATTATTTAAAATGTATGCTAAAATAACATGGCTTTAAGCTTACTGCTTTATTACTTAATCTGTCACAAAGATTGTCAAATAATTCGACTCTTAACCACACCTTTCTCCTACCGTATATGGGATCGTTTGATCTCACATTGACAATTCTCCTTACCAACACAAACCATAATATTAAAAATGGATTTATAATTCAAAAATATGTATATTAAATGCTTAGCAAAGATTAAGATATACAAATTATGAAAGTGATGGTTTAAACCAAATTGAAGGGGGTCAATTAGGTTGTGAATCCGAGTCGAGGAAATAATGAAATTGTTCACGGTGAAGATCAAAAAGTCCAACATCCCAATCAACGTACTCTGGCAACATGTCGCTCAAATGATCAGCAAAGTATATACAGAGTTTGTTCAAATTCTACGAGCAAGTGTGTGATGCAAGGAAAAAGTCTGATTATATCCCACAAACAATGAGCAACCCCCTAGATCCTTAATGGGGATCCAATGAGAGGAAGAACAAGAAGTGATAACAATCGACACAAACTTGGAAACAAAGATACCCACTATCTTCGCTTTCCAACTCTTATCTATCTTCCTTTTTGTGGTATCAATGAACCTCTCTATTTTTAGAAGTTCTCCTGACAAAAAAGCAATATAGTACATTTAATCAGAGTTTTTGGTGTGCAAGCATGGGTCTTGAGTTGCGGGGCAGATCAATTCAACATTTTTTCCATTGGCGTCAAAAGCCAGAACCATCGAGAAATGTGTGATTGTGTAAAATATTTTATCTTCTTGATGATAGTAAACATCCTCAAATTGCTTCGTATGCATTATGGCATAAAAAGGCAATTGCGGGCCGAGAACCCATGTTTGATCTCCTAGCCTTGCCAAAGCAAGAGATTTTGTACGTCCATAGATATCAATAGCAGTTCCTAATAAGTCATTAGAAGAGACAATGATCTTCTGAAAATATATATCACGTAATCCTTCCTCGTCTATGGTAAAATATGAGTAAATTTCATTACAAAAAAATCTAATAGATCTGTTAGAGCCATGTTTGGGGGTTATCATATGCCCTTTGTCTTTGGGGATGGTGAAAAGAGACGGGAATGATATTTCAGCCTTTGTGAGAGGGTTAAAGAGGCGAGGCTGGAGATCTTCTTTGTCAAGGGTCACGAGCCATCCATCCTTGGAGCCAAAGCGGCTAGGACAGATGATGTAACTATCAAAGGAGGAGAAGCGACGATGGCAACCGACACTAGCCTCTTCTTCTTTGATTGTAAAGTCACGAAAGGTGAGTGAATTAGAGGCTTCTCTAGCTTCACGGGAAGCAATAACCAAGGCGAGGGACAACATTGAAATCCATTGGATACATCATTGGAAAGAAAAGAATTCCATGAGGTGCAGACAACGGAGAGTAGAAGATAGTCTACAATGGGAAAATGCGATGAAATGTAATAGAGGAGATCTATTGGAAGATCAGATCTTTCCATAATATTATTGTATATGTGGTTGCAAATAGATGAGGAAAGACGCTTGAATGCCTTGTGCAATATTTGTTAGATATATATAGCATAGCTCCCAAGCGGACCTAACCAAAAACAGCAAGAATAAAATAAGCATTTGTGGCTATAATTTTTTGGAAAAATTTGTGGCTATTATTCAAAAACACAAATTTTTCTTCTTATTGGTGGCTAAAAAAAAAGGTCAACTTCCATTTTCCCTAAAAAATGCATAACATACTTCTTTATTTAAATAAGAACTTATAGATTTAAATTTTTTTAAAAAAGCATTTTGAGCTGGCTTTGATAATTTAATTTTAGATTAAGCATTTTGAAAACTCAAACATAAAATTTTAATTTTATTAAATTAAATATTTTATATTTCTTTTATATAAAAAATTATCTTTCATTTCATTCAGCTCATTAAATAATCAAATAAGACTTTGTGTCAAAATTTATTTATTTATTTATTTTTAATAAACTATACATTAAAACCAAAAAATAGTACATGAGCAAAGAAATAAAAAACCCCAGGAAGAAAAAGAAAACACAAGGGACATCCAATCCCGAGGGCTCAATTTTTGGCCGAGACTACTAGCTTCCCAAAAACCAAGCTCAGACCGTCCAATTAGGTGCAGAGACAACACGAAGCAGCCAACCCAACCGAGCAAAAGATCTCCACCAAAGGTTTCCATGAGCCATGCCAACGGAGAAACGAGCCCCAACCACATCATTGCCCGACAAATAGAAAATAAAAATCGTAGAGTGCCAAAAGACAAGCACAATGTAACAAGAAATGTCAACCAGAAGCTTACCAAGAAGTAAACAAGGTAAGGCAAACACCAGCACCACCCACAAACATCAGCTTCCACGTCTGCGCCGAACACGAGCCCTTCCATGAGAATCTGTAGAAACAACCAGAGTGTCCCATAGCAGAGCAAAAGAATTCCCTGGATCATCCTCCCCAACAGTCTCAAGAGAGGAAACTGAATTAGAATCAGAAGAACCATGAAGCCAATCAAGATGCACACGTAGATCCATTCTAGAATTGTCCCCCACATGATACACCAATGCTTGAGGTCAATTAAATTAACTGGCACATCCACAAATGAATTATTAACTAAACCGACATTGACAGGGGTAGAAATGGAGGGGCACAAGACTTCAATTCAACAGAAACTTCACACCCAATCACACCCAAAATACCAGAACCAGACCCAATCGGGCCAACCACAAGCTCAGGAGTCTTAGAATAACCAGCTAAAACAGCCGGAGCAGACACCACCGAAATCAAGGGACCAGAATTTAAAGCACAACTTAGCTTACCAACAGCACTATTACAAACCCGATGGGACACTAAAGAAGGTAAAACCCTAACTACAACATCCTCACAAAGTTTCACAGAGGACACTTCAGCAACAACCTCATCAACAGGAAAATCATTCATTGACTTAATAGGCAAAAGAACAATAGAATTAGGAACCAGAGAGCCCAATTCAATAACTTGTGGAACAAAAGGTAAGGCATCAGGGGACAAAACAGTAGCAGCAACAACAAGACTACTGACTTCACCACCCGGCACAGCATTCTCCACATTAACAACAGTTTGGGGGACTAAAATATAGGACGGGTTAAGAGGAACATTAGAGCCATCATCAATCACATTCAATCCAGACATCGCGCATTGAGCAACCACAAGTTTATGAACATTAAGAATGTGATGCAAAATAGTGCAATCATCCTTTAAATGACATAACAAATTACAGTGCATATAGAAATGGGGTAAATCATCAAAAATGATAGTTTGAACATATCCTGTTTTCTAAGAACCTACCCAAATCTTATCAAGGTATTTTTTGTTACATCTAATTTAACAAGAATACGATCCACCGAAGGACGAGAACCCAAAGCAATAGCAGTATCCAACTTGAGCGTGCGACCAAAGAGGGAACCCAACCCGAAAAGGATCCTAGGAGAGAAAAGATGAGGTCTGAGGTGAGGGAAAGAAACCTAGATAGGAACAATCGGAGAGTCCACCTCAACATCTAGATTAGGTAACCATTTTACCACTTTCATATAACAATTATGCACGAAATAAGATCTATGAGAGAAAATTTGAGAATAATCAAAGTAGTTCACGAGCTTAATCAAAACATTCATGGGATTAAGAATTGTGACCGAAAACTCACCTAAAAACTTTAAATTAAAGAAAATTTTTTGAATGGCATCTATTGAAGGCCGTTTACCAATAAGTCGACCAACAAAAGAAAACTCGAAAGGGGTAGCAAGCGAACAAATTTCTTCCTTAGAAATCAATAGCACCGGCAAACCGCGGTGAGAA